ACAGTCACCTCCTGCTTGCTTCTTTTTCAAATTCTGCAGGTAGCAAAGGATTCCCGAAGTGATGTTGAGTCAAGCTCAGATGAGGAAGAAACAGTACCTCGTTCAAAGACTCCGCACAGCACTATCACCACTAATGGGACCAGCGGTGCCAATGGGACAAACGGGTATCTTACTGGTGGCACTTGCTCAGAGGAGCATTAATCCTTGAGTTCAATCATGAGACACGAACAGAATAACTTTTTGCTACTGGAAGTAAATTATAAGTTGTGAATGCGGTTTATTCATATATCTCAGCATCAGAAAAAATTAGGAGTATCAAAGCATTCTGATAGCGCACTGCCATATTTCCTGTTTGTGAATGAAGACAGCACACCATTCTGTATATGTAGGCATGCTGTATGTGTATGTAACTGACACAATGGGAGCAGTATTTTCACTTGTACTGTCTTGGAAATATTATTTATTTTGTATTCTTTCGGGAACTTCTGGACAAAGGGAATATCCATTCTCAAACTTAATATCTTGGATTCTCAGTGGTGGAGAGCATCATGCTCAGATCTCTTCTGTCCATCCCTGTTGCTTTTGCTGAATCTGCTATAAGTAATAGTTGCTTGATTTGTTACTTACAGTAAGATAGAACATAGCTTTCTAGATTTTAGATCTGCTTCAGATATTCTAGCTATCTTTGTGTTTTAAAGTGCTGATTTTGAAATTACCTATCAAATCACAGTGACTGTTCCTCCAACATAAAGTTTTAAAACACTGGATTGATATTTTAAATAGTAGGTAATGTGGTCAATTAGAAATTTGGGGAAAAAATGTGGTAATTGTGGGATATTATTTTAGCATAATTTAAAATTCAATTTGATGGTTAATTGCATTAGAAGTAGACTTGATTTGTTGTGCAAATACCCAAAAGCATTAATGTCAACACTTAGGATAAACTCTTTCTCACTTGGGTTTTTTTTTGGCTTTTCAATTTTTGACTTCTACAGATTTTAGCTTTTTGCAGGTTCCATGTGAAAAAGGTGTTTGTTCAAGTGCACCGTTGTGAATCCAGACCTCACTCCTGAACTGTTCTCGCACATTCAGATGGATGAGAGCAGGGATGTAACAGAAAAAAACAGCAGATGAAAAGTTTATTGCTTCCTCAGACATTGTTCAGTCTAGGTATCATTCTTCAAATTAGTGCCACTTCCTTGGTAGGGTGAAGAGAGAGAAGGCAGAATGTCATACATTACTAGAATTAGTTTATTTTAAATGTGTGAAAACTTGAGCAAAATTCACTTAACATAATTCACAGCAACCTTTGAACACTCAGCAGTATTTCAGCACCTCTACAAATAAAACTAAAGGTGTCCATGAAATAATTTTGTACTCCTTTTTCCTCCAGGATTTCGTGTCCCGAAGAAGACAAAGTAACACTCAAAGTAAACATCTTTTTAAACATTATATACACACTTCTTCCAGTCTCTAGATCAAAGTTTGATGGAGGATACTAAGGATCATACAACTCTTGTAGGACACTTTTCTGTGATTTGTGACAGCAGTGCCAAAAGTAGGCAAGGTTCTTGGGTAACAGACTCTATGCAACCAACTGTTCAACAGTATTGTGTGTGTACACACAGAACCAATGTGCTTATAGACCAAAGACTTAAATATATATACTTTAAAAAAAGAATTTAAAAAAGGGAAGGAACAAACCAGGAAAAATTGTCTGTCTTCTATATACAAAGGGATTGGAGTGCCATGTTCAGCTGGAACTCTGAGCCAGGAAGTCTTTCTGATTCCTTCCACCTATGCAAATAGCAAAATATAGATGGTTTCTGATGCCATAAAACATGTTTGAAGACTCTCTTTTATACAAACTCCATTGAAGAAAGTTGTGTTGCCACTTCTTTCTTTTGAAAACAGAGATTTGTCCTATTCTACTGGTCACTCTTGGAAACTTCTGGAACTTTTATTATCCATAGAGACTCTTGTGTGTTATGAAAAAAATATGTTAAAAGCAAGGTCAAAATGGCATGAATGAAAAGAGTGCCTCCACTTAGTAGACAATGAAGACAAGAAAACTGAAAAATTATAAATTGTGGAAGAAGAGCTGTCAATTTTACTACCCACAGAGCATCTTTTGAAAAAGCCAGGTAACCTTGTAATTCTGCAGGTGCATAGCTGATATGTCCATGAGTTTATCTGAAGGAGCAAGGGAGTCTTACTAAAATCTCCTGCCCAAAAGGTTGCTCAGCCTCTAATTTATTTTTATCTGTCTACTGCGCATTTGATTTCATAGAGCTATCTGCATCCACGGTGTTTGAAGTGGCAGCTGTGTAGTAATTACTGTCAAGATGAGACCACAATTTTAAAATAAAACCATCTGGGGATATATTAAATTAACATTATAATTTGTGAAATCTGATCTGCTAAGATGGTAATTGAAAATATCAGTTTAAACACACCTCTTTCATGGTGTTGATTATGAACCACATCCCTTCTGCAAAGATTGTTACAACAATGGCATTCCGGAAAAATATTTTGTCTTATATGGAGATGGAGTGTTGCTCCAAACTGTCACCATGTACAACATAGACAACATACTGCAGTGTTGGTCATACCAGGGCAGAGAGCTCATCCCAACAACAATCCCTGTGCAAAAGGCATGAGACCTGTAATTCCTGTTGATCCTCCCCAGCTATGCTCTATAGTATTGATTTAGATGTCAAGGCTACAACCTTTGAGATGATATACCATCACTGGTTACATATGCTCTTAGGGTATCATAGAACCATAGAATGTTAAGGGTTGGAAGGGACCTTAAAGGTTATCTAGTCCCAACCCCCTGCCATGGTCAGGGACACTTGCCACTAGACCAGATTGCTCAAGGCCTTATCCTGCCTGGCCTTAAACACTGCCAGGATTGGGGCATCCACAACATCCCTGTGCAACCTGTTCCAGTGTCTCACCACCCTCACAGTAAAGATTTTTTTCCAAATATCTAACCTAAATTTTTTCCCTTCTTTCAATTTGTACCTGTTACTCCATGTCCTATCACTACAGTTCTTGTCCACCACCCTCACAGTAAAGATTTTTTTCCAAATATCTAACCTAAATTTTTTCCCTTCTTTCAATTTGTACCTGTTACTCCATGTCCTATCACTACAGTTCTTGTCCACTTGTTTGTAGGCCCCTTCACATACTGGAAGGTTGCTATGAGGTCTCCACCAACCTTCTCTTCTCCAGACAGAACAGCCCCAACTTCCTCAGCCTGTCATTGTAGGGGAGGTGCTCCAGTCCTCTTACCAACTTTGTGACCCTCCTCTGGACTTGGTCCAACAGTTAAATGTCCTTCTTATGTTGAGGAAGGTGGCGTCTCACAAGACCAGAGTATAGTGGAAGAATCACCTCCTTCAACCTGCTGGCCACACTCCTTTTGATGCAGCCCAGGATTTGATTGGCTTTCTGGGCTGTGAGTGCACACTGCTGGCTCATGGTGAGTTTTTAATCAACCATCACCCCAGTTTTTCTCGACAGGGCTGCTCTCAATCACTTCTCTACCCAACCTGTAGGTGTGCCTGGGCTTGCCATGACCCAGGTGCAGGATCTTGCACTTGGCTTTAATGAGCTTCATGAGGTTTGCATTGCCCCACCTCTCAAGCATGTCAAGGTCCCTCGGGATCCCCACTGTTAAACAGAACATCTGGGATTGAAACTCTTCCTTTGATTTTTAAATTCAGTTGCATCTATGATACACTAAAGCATGTACACAATCAGCTGTTCATGGTTGAACTGACTCTCAAGGACTTATTTATGCCCTATAAACCTGCCTTTTGGGGTCCCTTCATAGCAGCCTAGAATAAACTTAATACAGATATGTCTGGCCACTGTTAAACAGAACATCTGGGATTGAAACTCTTCCTTTGATTTTTAAATTCAGTTGCATCTATGATACACTAAAGCATGTACACAATCAGCTGTTCATGGTTGAACTGACTCTCAAGGACTTATTTATGCCCTATAAACCTGCCTTTTGGGGTCCCTTCATAGCAGCCTAGAATAAACTTAATACAGATATGTCTGGTAGATATTCAAA